TCTTTTGTTTTAAATCTCAAGGAAGACAAAAAAACCCCCCCCCCAGCCCCCCCCCCCCCCCCCCCCCCCCCCCCCCCGTTGCTCCGCTCCCAGCTCTCTGATTGGCTCATCCGCACTGATGACATCAGCCTCCTCCATCGCAGCCTCCCTCTCTCTCCATCTATTCCCTCGGTACTTCGAGCCCCTCCCTTCTTCTTTACATCCATCTCTCTTGGTCCCATATTCTGCTTTTCATTTTTACTGGTGGTGAACTGGTCAGATTGTTAGAACACGGCTCTGTTGTTCCTTCAAAATGCTGCTACATCACATCTCTGTGTGCAGGGATGAAAATTATTTCAGTAATCAGTTGATTCAGATTTACCTAATCTTTAAGTATTAACTGATTTTATGACAAAATTTGAAGTTTTATCCCTATTGTCTAAAAATGATAATACTGTTGTTTTGAAACCATTTTCAAATAATATAATGTAATTACATAATGATAATGCAAGAACACATTCTCAAAGATCAATAAACTTTAATTTCTGATGAATAATTAACACTGGAACTGGAAAGTATTTTAAATATCTTAAATAAATAAGCAAAACTACAGAAACAACAAATAAAATGAATTATCAATCAATCAATCAAATTTTATTTGTATAGCACATTTCAGCAGCAGGGCATTTCAAAGTGCTTTACATACTTAAAATAAAAACAGCATGTGAGAAAGAGATTTAAAAAACAATTAATATGTAAACAGTGAGAAAGAGAAATAAAAAACTGTAGAACTTTAGTTGAGACGCCGTCAACTGGGACTCCAACCCTTTGGACTTCAGTCAAAACGCCGTTTGACAAGGAATTCAGTCAAAATTATGAAGTCTCTGTAAGCAAAACTGTCCTTTCAAAAAGGGCTGGTTGAAACAAAAGAACCAGACTGAAGACTTTTATCATCCAGATTTTAAAAAAGAGATAAATCATGCAAATGGAAACTATTGAGTTCGTTTTAATTCATCATGCAATTATTTGATTTATTGTGACAGGCCTCCCCATATATTTATGTTAAAAAAAAAACGTTAATTAAAAATGTTTTTTTTAACGTTTTTCAACTCCAAGCACTTTAATTAGTAACTTCACATTAATTTTCATTCAGACAATTTGCCTTTTATCTATCAAAATTAAAAGCTAGCTATCTAGTTTTTAATTTTGCTTAATAAATGTAGTAAATTGTATTTTTTGATATGGAAATTTTCGTATCAAGAATAATGTTATTTTTTATGCACATAGACTTTCACTAAGTTTACTACTTAAATATGGAAATATAAAAATGTAAATTTTGTCTAAATATTTTTTACTATGTTTGATTTATTATGTTTTCATCCATATTTAATGTTTAAACTGCTCTTAGACAGTGAGATTTTCCCCTTTTAAAGATTTTCATACAATCACTGCTCAGGTTTTCTGAATATTATGTATATATTTTTGATTGATTTATGATTTTATTAATTTACCACCTAATCTTTTGCTAAGGCTAAAGTCTAATCCTGTAAAATCTTCGGAATTTTTTTTATTTTTGAATCCATAGTTTAATTGCTGAATGTTTATAAATCAAATAAAGTTTTTTTGTCTTCTGTCATCAGCTTGTTTCCCGTTGCTGCACTTTTCTGTTAAACCACTAAACTTTAATCTGCTCCTGCCATTATTCTGACATGTTTTCTACATAAAACACTGAAGACAAATTAAAATACACTTATGTGACCACTAGAAGGCGCTACCACTCACAGTTTTAACATGACTGAATACGGGTGAATTTATTTGACTTTTAGTGGTGTTGTGGGCTTCATTCACCCTTTCTGCCATAAAAAAAGGTGAGCATCGCCATAGCAACCATTGCTCGTTACTTAATGAAGTCCATCTTCCAGTTAGTTACCAATTCTTGATAAAGCTAACAGAGGAACCATGGTTTAACTTGCAGCAACTACGTTTGCACCATTAAGAAAATCCAGAAATTTTCTTGATAAATTTTGAGATTTAGTATTTTAAGAGTTGTTTTTCTGTTTTTAAAGTGATTATTGCAAAGTCCCGTAACGCCTCTCGGGAATAGACAATGGATGGGTAATTGCTTGTGTGTATTTATTATTTAATAAAATCCACAGCATCACAGTCATAAAATAATTTAGTCTCGTATCCAGTTTGTGTTGCTGGTTGTTCAAGGATTTTTGAAATTTGAGAAGAGGATTACCTAAGATATGAAACAATGAATATATGGTGTATTATATTTTGTTTTATTTCATATTATCAGAGTCATTGTCATAAATGTTTTAGCCCTGCTGTGGTGAGTGGAACCATATTGGTTTTTTGTTTGTTTTTGTTTCGTTTCACTTCCTGGTTTTATTGCCGCTCTGTTTTCAGTCATTTTGGCAGACATTTTTATCCTGACAGCTTTCTGAAGCTGGGTGCAATATGGTGACCCATTTGTGCCCTTTTTGTCAAACACGTTGGGAGCCGTATGATAATCGTTGTGAATGCCCCCCGCGGTTGGATGTGGCTCGTTTGATAAAGGATGTGGCAACCCCATGTGGTGCCGCTGATCTCGCTCAGCTAGAGCATATGTTGGGCCGTGTGTCTGAGGAAAAACACTAAGAAACGTCTCTGCAGCATCAACCAAAGAACAGACAGGAGATTGCTTTTAAAACAGACAGGATAACCCAACATGGTTGGAGGAAAACTTTATGAGGCAGTGTAGCCCATCTGGGATTATATCCACAGCAACAGTATACAATTTGGCACTAAAAGAACAAAAAATTATTTTTTGCTTGTTAAAGAAACTCATGTCGTTTAAAAACTTTATTTTTTAAAGTAGAGCTAAATCCAATGTGAAAACAGTTTTACATCAAATATTTGGGGAATCAAACAAATTTACACAAAAATACAATTTACAAATAAAATTTAAAAACAGCATGCTTAGCGACCAATTTAGACAGTTTATTTGCAAAAAAAGAGGTTTAGTTACTCTTTAAATGGTGCTAGATTTGTAAGGAAATTGGTGGAAATGTGGGTTGAGTCGGTTAAAAACACAAAGCGATAAAAAGATTCTGCATCAATTCCAAGTCACCATGCACTCTTTGGGAACAAACATCGGCCAAACACCAACCAAGAAACACGGTTAGCACGTTTTCATAAAAAGACTTCTGGCACACACTGGACACAATATATATCAAACCAAAATGGGAAATATAACAAATAACAGGGAAAGGTCTGTATTATCACAATCCAATCAACCACTAATTCTGCAAAATAACTTAACTAGAAATTAATAATGGGGTAGCTCTACATGTTTAAGCTTCTCTGCATATCTTAAAGTATAAATAAAAACTATAAAATTGACTTATTTTGCCATTTGCTCAGGTCCATTTTCAGGGCGAAAAAACTATTTTAGTCATCAATTTGGTTGGCTATATTGTTATTATCTGAAGCAAGTGTTAAAATAAACTTATGCCAACGACTAAGATATTTTTAATTAAAAGAATAAAGCCATAATATTATAAAGTCATACTATTACTACAATAAAGACGCGAAATTACGCAAAACAGTCGTTTTAATGAGAGCAATGCTTCGATAAGAGCTGACGTGACAGACTTGTAAAAATTTATTTTTAAAATTACTAATAACAACTTCATTCTCCTAATTTACAGCCTTACTCTACTGATATTATGATTGTATTCTCATAACACGTTTTATCCTATCCTTTTTATTCTCGGAAAAAAAAGAAACCTTAGCGTGGCCCTAACACACCGTCATAAAAACGATGCCGTTATATTAACCTACCGTCTCCTGCCGTTAAGGTTCAGCTCCTCCGTTAAGACGGTGTGTTGTCTTGAATGGTAAAAAACGTCTGTCTCTGAATTCCGGTGTCTTATCAATCTGATATCTCTCCATTATTACCTGCAGCTAGGCTAACCAATGGAGGGTGAGCTAGCATAGGGCTAGCAAACGGCTAACCAACGTTTATTGAACGGACGTTTAATGGCGTCTCATTTTACGTCGGCAAACGTTCTCGGCAACGTCCAGTGCTAGCTAGGTCATTACAGTCTGTTTCGATGAGTTTATTCTAGTTTTTCTTTCAGTTTTCATATTTGACCCATCTGAAATCCTCTTCTTTGCTGCCTGGTCGAATAGTTTAACGTCCTTTCTGTCTTTATTGCTCAGTTTGTTCAGTCTGCGGCCAGGTTCAGTTAAGTCTTGGGTTGGACTGTTAACATTTAAATTGCTACTCTTATGGCTTTTCAGGAAAACAAAGCAGGTTATTGCCGTATCCAGATTATATCCTCTTCTTTTATTCCCATGTTCTGATCTTCTGCTTTGCAAATTGAGTTTGTTTCTAAGCAGCTATCTGGTCCATTATCTCCTCCACATCAAGTGGGTGGTTTTTCTCCTCCATACATTTCCTCCATCCTTCTTCACTAAAGCTTTAATTCAGTTAACCTCAGTGTGTGTGTTTCTGTGGATGTGTGTGTGCAGGAGAGAGGGGATGGTTAAAACACAACAATCAATAAAATAGATGCTGATCATGGTTTGTGTCCTTGTCTCATGTCTGCCATTGTCTAGGACATGTCATCAATACACCGAGACGTCTGTAGGGATGCTGTTTACTAGAACCATGACTCAATCTTCTTGACTGGAATACAAAACATCTAGCAACACACACATACACACACTCTGATAACTTGTTGATCAATAACAACCTGTCATACCTTCACCTCTTCAATCTCAGATTATAAGGACAGCAGAGAAGAAACAAAGGATAAATATTTTAGCAAGACTTGAAATGTCATTCCTACAGAAATGTCTTGCATATTTTTATTTTTTATTTTTGGTAGACAATGAATTTGCTTTTGGTACTACAAGTGATTTTAGGTTTGTATATCGGACTTATAGAAGCCCAATATACAAACATTTTTTAAGGTTTAATTATCTACAATTAAACCTTAGATTTAGACCAGTTTACAGTCTAAACCAGGAGTCCTCCAGGCCCCAAACAGCATTAACTTCTGGGCAGCGACCCACTTTACTGCTTCAAAATATGTAAAGAATTATACTTTGGAATGTTTTTTATTTGATAGTCCTTAATTATTACATTTATTTATGTCAATCAGAAACATGTAATGCATTATTTTAACTTATATAAATATATTACATACATACATACATACATACATACATACATACATACATACATACATACATACATACATATATTTTTAATTGAAAAACAGAAAGCAAAACTTAAGAATAAAAAGGGGTTTCAATTTTTTATTTTTTTTCTCATTTTCTCTCCAGCTTTGAGGCCCCTCTGGCGCCCTTTGGTGGCTCTCCAGGGGATCGCAGCCCCAACACTGATGTAAACTACGGTGGCTATAATTATTTAATGTCGTAATTAAATTAGATTATCATTTCCCTCTGCAGCCTGATGTAGCTCACCTCCCGTAACCATCTTGCTGCTGTTGGGAGACAAAATGCTGATAAATTGGAATATTTTTATAGTTTCTATTGCAGAAGAAAAATATACTGTCCTACTCCTGCTCAGCTAAGTAAAATGTCTAACCGTCTAAGCAAAATTCTACCTGCAGGGATGTATTGAATGTTTTATAATTTCACAATATTTGAAGTTAAATTGAAGATGACAGAGAAGTTACTAAAGCGCTATCTGTGTGTTACCCACAAGAGGGCGCTCTAATATAGAAAATAATACGTTTCTATGTTCTGTGGAGTAATTTAACTTCCTTACAAGAACTGCTCAGAGTTTATAAGTTTTTAAGATTCACATCAGAAGCAAACTGAGAAATGTAACATTGGTTTGTTTCTTTTTTTGTTGTTGTTGTTGCCTTGGTAAGGTGCGGTTTCGAGGGAGAACTTGACCTTACTATCTGTATGTTTTGGAGAATTTGGTTGTAGCTGATTCATCACTAAAATAAAGAGAAAAGAAGAAATTAAAAGAGATGTGCAGTAAGGATCAGAGGAAACAGTTTTATAGTGAGTAATCAATTATTATGACAATCATTTAATCAATTAAAAATAGTTTGCAGATTTTTCATGTAGCTACATATGTTAGCCTTCGTAGGGATTATCCGGACCGTTAGATGGAGAGCGGGTCAGAGGTCAGCCCAGGAGCTGGTGGGTGGGGCTGGCTGCAACAAGCTTTTCTTTTTTACAAACATGTACATGATTAATGTAAATGAATGAAATAATGTTCCACATGAACTAGATTCTTGCTCTTAATTTTTAGTGTTACACAATCTTAACCTAAAGCTGATAAGATGTAATGATTATCTATTTACCCTTTGACTCGCGCACGGCGCTCTGGACATGCGCAGTGTTTGTCTCGGAGCGGGAAAAGATGCCCATCTATTCATTGGTAATAAATTTACCTACATAAATCATAAGAAAGCATAAAATGACGTGTAAATTCAGCAGCTCTTCGCATTCAGAGACGGTGAGGACAACGTCCAACTTTTAGCATCACTTTGAAAGGAAGCTCAAAGAAAAGTAAGCTCCGTAGAGGTTAGCAAAGATAGCTGCACAGTTACAAATATAAAGTTAGTAAGTCACGTTATTGATTGGATTGTAACCTGTATGTTTTGCATCCAGTGAAAACAAGAATGTTGACAAATAAACTGGACAAATATGCTGACAATTTAGTGACATTTCCACAGTTGTGGTCTTGAAATAAAATGCCAAATCCTCAATGTCTGAGACCAAATGCGGCCGAGACCATAAAAAGAGGTCTCCAGACGGGTCTCATACAACACTAGTGTGTGTATGATTGTGTCTTTGTGTTGGATTATGCTGGGAAATTAAACTGTAAAATAATTCAGCTGGAGATGAAAAGAGTTTCAGGGAAACTTTTTATCTTCAAAATCAGCTTCATCTTGTGACTCTGAGCTGCTAATTAGCTCTGATGCTAACATTCAGAGGCTGATATCAGCTGGAAAAGGTACAGTCAAAGAAGAGACTGTGATAATTTTATTTTGGGCCTGGCAGCAGTTTCTAAAAGTGGATTCAGGTTGAAGGTATTGAAGGACTGGCTTGATGGGCGCAGCAGGCCGAACCGTTTCCAGCCTCTTGATGAGTGGAAATGAGCACAGCGTGTCAGTATCTGCTGCAGAAGAGCCAATGGCAGCATTTCTCTCCAAAAGACTGGAGAGGATCTCTGCAAGACACGGTGAATGATTCAAACTCTCCAAAATACTTTAACACCGAACCCATAGGGGGCAGTGTAGCGCAAAGGTAAAACCTATGTCAGCCAATCAGAATCCTTCAAAACAACCACAACTTCCTGTTAGGAATTCAACATGGCGCCAGGAGGTTCATTAATAGGTTGGACTGCTTATAAATGGCATTTTAGAATACAAAGTCAATAAAACACAATGTTGATTGGAAATCGTGTGAAAGTAAATATGTGGAAATATTGGACAAGTATATATAGATGTCTACATAACAGTATAAGCTTTTATAATTTTACATCTTAAGGCGATTTTAAAGCATTATTTTAATGTATTAAATTTACACACATGGACAAAATTGTTGGTGACCCTTTGTTAAAAATATCAGGTGTTTTGGTTTAAGGCCCTATTCCTGTGACATCGATTCCTAACTTTTATACTGCAGAAAACTAAATTTCACTCAGTATTTTTGGTCCAGTTTCTAGTGTAAATATCTTAATACACCTGAAATAAGAGAAAAGGTTATTTTTAAGTTAGCTTTGCCTTATTTCAAGTGCACTAAGATATTTGCAATGGAAAATGAACCAAAGATACTTTGTAAGATTTTGTAAACAAGGTTTCTTTTGAGTTTTAGTTTATTTTCTGACCCTTCATATGGAATAAACATAATAAGTGCAAATGGTGTAAACAGAAAAACATGTTGTAACAGTTATAAAGGCGTGCACTGGAAAAACTTCCCCACACTGCTTTACACGTGCTTGAACATGATGCAGTTAGTTGTTTTCAATGTCATTAAAACCTCTTTAGAAAGCTCCCTCTCCCACTGGTGGGCTCCTGCTGCTTCCTGACACTTATTAATGTCGTTGCCTGGAGGGGCCGTGACTCCCACAGTCACTACTGCAGTCCCGGCGTGGGAACACATTACAGCCAAGCATCAGCACAAATGAGCTGCTCATGCTCACAAACATCTCCCAGTCGCACCGTTTCAGCTGATCAGACAGCAGGCTTTGTTACTGACATACTTTAATCTGCATCAGGGGAACATTGAATCATAACATGGGATAAAATGGGGAAATGTTGAACATTTAGAGCAAATTACTCCTGATCTCTGCTTTAGAGATGGTTCTGATGTGGTGCCTTAACAGTGAGCTAATTGTTAGCTGAACGCCGTAGCGTTTTCTCATTTTCAGTGCATTTAGCTTCCCTAAACCAGGGGTGTCCAAATGTGGCCCGGGGGCCATTTATGAGTGAGTCTGTGTGGCCCCCCAACTACAATTCAAGAATTATGAAAATCTCGCCTGTCCATCACAGGCTTGATGCAAACCTCGTTTTTAACCAGGGTGAAATGGTCACCCTGATTAAACATAATATTTTTTATATTGTAATTTTCTCACAATAGAAAACGTTAATGCAAATATGTAAAGACTTTTACTGAAAAGTTGACTTTTATTTTATAAAAAGTTTATTTTTTATAAAATAAACTTTTATTTAATTTATTAAACTTGGCTAAACATAGCAGGTATTTTGAAAGGAATCAACTAAAATCTTTTTCTTATAAGATAATAAATGTTTTCATTCAAGCCCAAAAGAATTTGAAAACTAGAAATTTATTTTACTACAGAAAATCTGCAAAATCATTTTAAAGCTTTGGATCATTTTTTTTTCTTTTACAAAAAACAACTTTACTGCTTGATTTTAATTTTTCTATTATTTATTAAATTTTGGGGGGACATAATTGCTATTCACTTGTCGATTTTGGCCCACATGACAAAACGTTTTGTCATGTGGGCCAAAATAAACTAATA